AAAACTAAGACTTACAGCTGCCCCCTGAAAAGTTTTCCATTGTAAAAAATACCCTAAAATTTTTAAAATTTAACAAAAACACCTTAAAAAATTTAAAACCTACATAAAAAGCTTGAAAATTTTAAACATAAAAAAGAACACTGAAATTTATGAATTGCAAATAGCCCCCTAAAACTTTAAAATATGTAAAAACACTCTAAACTTTCTAAGTTACAATAAACACCCTCAAAATTTTAAAACTACAAAGCAATCTGTGAATATTTCAAATCTACAAACAGTATATTGAAGTCGTCTTGGAATTACAAATAGCCACTAAAATTTTTAGGATTTGCATAAAAATCCTAAAACTTTTAAAACTTACAAAAAAGGCCCTCAAAAAATCGAAACTTACAAATAGAGCTTGAAAACATCTGTTGATGTTAAATGATCACACATTCAATATGTATCCGTGTTTGGATGAGTTTGTTATGGATTGATGATGCACCACTTTCTTCCCCGACTTTATATCTGGTTCTTGAGTTAGGTGTCTGAAAAATTCGTGAGAGGACGGGGCTGGGTTCCCCCGTTGTACCTTCGACGATCAAGTTAGTTGATGAACTTGAGTGGGATAAATAAGAACTGTGAGAGTTCTTATATGTGTGCAGTATGATTTGCAGAGAAAATTGAATATCAGATTAGATTCAGAAAAAAGATCAGATCCAGAAAAAAGATCAGATCCAAAAAGTCAGTCGAGGCCAAGTTGAAATAGTACCTTTATTTATACCAAAGATGTAAGGGTAGATTGATCACTTCGGACGAGCACTGAGAGGAGGTGGTGAAGTGTGGGCTGGCGGCTGCGTCAGCAACTGCTTTACAGGTGTCGGCTGGTGACTGGGGGAAGGATCACTTCAGCATTAAACGAGAAATGAGTGGTGGCAGGACGTCGCCCCACGTGGTCCGATGAGTCATGAAAACTATTGGGGCTAGAGGCATGATGCGCCTGTCATGAAAATGCGATGTTGACACGTTGTCAGTGAGAGAAGCTCGAGGCAAAAGTAGTCCTTTAACTTCGTCGAGAAGTAACGCCTATCGAGTCGTTCTCATGAGGTGTTGAACAAATGGATGAGTGGACTACTGGCGAGTTGTCTTTGATAAGAGGATCGTCTGGTACCGCCTTTCGGGTCGATATGAAGAAATATCGACTCGACGAGTCAGCTAAGACGGAATCCTCACTGGGCGTGGGCCGCCAAGTTGATTATGGCATTGTATACAGAAATACAACCGTCCATTGCTTGGCAATGAATTGTGCTTTGACGAAATGTGAACACCATAACAACATCAAACCAAGTACACTAAAAATCTACAAAATACATATAGCCCCCTGCAAAATTGTAATTTACAAAAACCACCTTGAACCTTTTGAAAGTTTCAAAAAACCCTAAAATGCAAAATTTTAGAAACTCCCTAAAAGTTTTTAACCTACAATAGCAAATTGAAAATCTAGGATTGCAAATAGCATCTTGAAAATTTTAGAATTTGTAAAAAAGACACTAAAACTTTAGGAAATTATAAAAAACACCCTAAAATTTTGGACATTTATAAGAAAAATCCTAAAAAGGTAAAAAATTATATAGAGATATTTTCTTGTTATTTCAATTTTGAGGGAGTTTTTAGGGTGCTTTCTGCAAATTTAAAATTTTTAGGGGGCTACTTGCAATTTCTAGATTTTTAGCATACTAGTTGTAGGTTTAAAATCTTGTAGTATTTTCTTAAATTTCAAATTTAGATGGTGTTTTTTGCAACTTCTGAAAGTTTTAGGGTATTTTTTGTAAATTCTAAAATTTTTGAGGGGCTATTTCTAATCTTAGTTTTCAATTTACTATATGTAGGTTTTAAGATTTTTTTTAAATTTTACAATTTTAGGGTATTTTTTACAACTCTTAAAGTTTTAGGGCGTCGTCTGTAAATATAAAATTTTTTAGGGAGGTTTTTGCAATTCTTAGATTTTCTACGTACGCATTCATTTTGAAAAATGTAGTTTTTTTGTAAATTTTGAATTTTCAAGTCTTTTTTATAATTTTTTAAAGTTTTAGGATGTTTTTTTGTGAATCCTAGAAAATTAAGGGGCTCTTGTAAGGTTTGAAATTTTAATGTTCTTTGTATGTTATGAATCATGAGCGTGTTTTAGTAATTTTTATGAATATTTTGCATTAAGTAGAGAGATCCGTCTCAGGTTAAGTTCTATCCTTATTGAAGGTTTATACCAAATATAGGAATGTTTTCTCTGTTAAATTTTTAGGGTAATAATTACCATGTTAAAGTTTAATTAACCATGATTTCTTTAACGTCATACCAAACGAGCCCTTAGTATTAATAAATTTACTGTTAAATCTATCATAATCCTTTCTAAAAGTAAATTTAGGATATAGTCAAATTAGAATTACCATAGTTTTATATTAAATTTAACAAAGTTTAAGGGTTAGAATGTTCTAAAATTAGCATGTGAGGGTATATAAGTGCAAAGTAGGAGAAGTTATAGGGTATTTAAATGTAATTAGAGGCACTCTAAGGGGCTGTTTGGTTGTATGTTTTTACCATGTAAAAGGATGTAAAGTGTAAAAAAGTGGGTCCCAATGTCAGCTTTCATCACTTTCAATTGTTTGTTTGTAGTTGTGAAAATAGTGTAAAGTGATTTCATATGCTGATGTGGCTTGTAAAGTGATTTCATGAAAAAAAGACATGATTTTAAGAGAAAGCTAACATTGAAGTTAGGAAAAAATAATAAAAAATAATTTCAACCAATATAATCATTTGAGTAGGGACCACTTTTTACACTTTCCAAACAAACAATTAAAGTTTCATTTTGCAAACCAAACAAGTGTTTTATGATTTCAATGGAATCAAAAACAAACAAAGAAAAGTAAAAAAATAAAATTGATGAGGTGGACAACAACTTTCCAAGTTGTGTCATAAATACACAACTTTACCAACAACAACCAAACAGCCCCTAAATAACTCCTCAACTTTCAAAGTTCGATATATCTCCCAAGACTACGAGGTGTCTCGGAAACCCAATTTACCTTTACACTTTTCTCAAATCCCCCCATCTCCTCCCCAAGATATTGTTAAATAAAAATGGGCAATGACTGGAATACCCTAAAGAGAAACTAAGGTTTTTAAGTTGCTGGAGAGATATCTTGGCTTAGGATAAAGTCCATTTTGTCGCCGGAATGTTCTTTGTTAGGCTACGTTGAAGCGCATAAAAGTGATAAAAATAAGAGTAGATACAAAATAAAAGAAGTTTGAAGTTAAAAAAGAAAAAAGAAAAAAATGGTTATGGACCTATCAATGATGTGGGGGGATACGATGCACTACTGAAAAAAGTTTACTGAGAATATTAGGGTAAACATGTAACGCCTTAGGGATAATGTGGTCATTTTAAATCGCATGTTCCTTTATATTTAATGAATTATTTGAGAGATTAAATGAGAAAAGTTGAGGGGATTATATCTAATTTTGAAAGCTAAAGGGGGTATTCTAAAATTGACCCTTTAGTATATCATCCCAGCAGAGAGATGGGTAACTGTTTCAGGTAACTAATTTTGGGTGTGGTTCACAACTCCTCCACTAACCACATTAGTTCAACTAAACCTGGTTAAGAATTTAAATATTGTTTGGTTAAAATAGAGCCTAAGTCTAAATTTAGTTTTCTAAGTTTATTTTTAGGCCCTTAACCAAGTTAGGATGGATCCATCTGTACATTTGATTTAAAACTAATACGGTAAAGTTTTAACCAGGTCAGTAGATGGTTGCCGAACACAGCTATAAAGCCCAAATTAGCCTCATTTAGAGGGACTTGATAAGAAGAACTGAGAGTGGGAAGGAGAAGGGAGAGAATTTTTAGTGGGGGACGTATAGTGATTTGATCTAATGACAAGAATAGCTATTTTGTACACTTACCATTTACTCTTTTATCTTTCTGCCTCCTCAACTTGAAACGATTTTTTTTATACCAGATTCCTTATAGCAAGTTAGATATGTGAGCGATTTCTGATCACAGAACAATCATCTTCTCCTAACGTGCCAAGGTACATCTATAGTAGATATGTCCTCCATTGTGATCTGTATCACAAAAGTCTACTAAAGTATAGAGAAAAGACCATGAAAATACAAAGGAAGCAAATGATGCATGCTAAAAATCCTTAATATCCATCACGCGCGCGCGAACACAATGTGTATATGCGCGCGATCGATCGTGTACACGCGCACCTATGAGAATTTCATATGTCCTATCACAATTTCATATGTACACACACAACCATATAGAAATAGAGCGTTACGATGCATTCAAGGTAATGGGAGGGGCCGTCTGTAACTTTAGAAAATTTAACCATTCAAATCTCTCTATTCCTATAGGGACTGTTCTGATAAGATTATATTCCTCATATCATATTATGGCTTTCAACATAGGCCTCGTTTGGTATGCGGGAACGGGTAGGTGAATGCTCATTCTCACTTCTCGTTCATGTACGTCTACCAAACACAAACTCTTTTTGAAAGCTAGAAGGCCTATTCCAACTTTTTGTAGGAAAAAATGGGCATTTCCAATGAGTTGGTAGGAAACGGACGATCCTACTTAAGTATAAATGAAAACAATAAATTACATACCAAATATGCCATAAAATAATTTTATTCCCACTTCATTCCATGATTACATCCGATCATGAGAAAGGAAATGAGCACTCCACTCCACACTCATTTCATTCCGTTTTATGCTTTATTCTATTCTTACTTGATTCCATATTCACGTACCAAACGAGGCGCAGGAAGCATAAGTTATGACAAAGACAATCCGGGTTTAAAACGGTGCTATTTTCTTTATTCAGAATGAAAATCAAAGAAGGGAGGGGGAAAAAAGCAAATAAAATTAAAGATAGTTTTCCTATGCGTGAAGGCCCAGAGCACTTTCAGCCCAAATAAAAGAAGAGCCGAAGCGCCCGGAGAGCGCTTGATTTGGGCCGATGTAGCTTCGGCCTACGTATACGCCACAAAAGGTGAAGCTCAGTGAAGGGCGCCACCCTTTCTCTTCCCTCTCGATTCTCTCTTTTCCCCCTCAACCCACAAAGGGAATCTCCGCATAAAAAATGTCTCTGTAGAGTTAAACCCACTTCCCACTGTGCTCACTGTAGCCAGTCCCAACTCCACCCTCTCCCTCAAAACCCAACGAGAGCCAAGATCAACAAATCTCGATTTGATCAGATCAATGAAGCCCCCCCTTCTTCTCTTTCTCCTCCTCGTCTACCCCGTCCTCATCCAATCCAAATCAGCATCTTACCCAGCTGGTAACATTACCCAAATCCCCCCTTCCCATCCTCTTTCCTTCAACTCTTTTACTAATGGGTTTCTCTTGTTTCAGCCGGAGCTATTGTCAAGCAGCTGTCTTCAGTTCTTAAATGGACTACTACAAGGGCTCCCCCCAAAACCCCCCAAAATGGTAAACCAAATTAGGATTGATTTTGTGGGTATTTGTTGGGTTGGAGTAATTTGGTGGCCCGTTTTGTTTTCATTGCAGACGGGGATGTTCATTCTCTTCAATTTGAGAGTGGGTATTTTGTGGAGACCCTTGTGGAGGGAGGAAAGCTTGGATTTGTGCCTTACACGATCAGGGTCTCGAGCGAAGGGGAATTGTTTGCGGTGGATTCGGAGAATAATAACGTCGTGAAGATTACTCCGCCGCTGTCACAATGTATGTGTTCATGTCTTGGTGTTCTTTAGTGATCTTGTATGAATTTTGCGCGTATTCTAGTTTGTTAATGACTGGGCAATTACATAAAATATAGATACTAGTACCACACATTATTGAGTCAATGTTCGTTGGAGATCATGTGATTATGTCTGCAAAATATTTTCTTGTTGAGGTTCGCTGGTTGGATGAAAGTTTATTTGGCAAGAGATCATGCAGTCATGGGCTAATAAGGTTGCAGTTATTTTGTTTCCTATGCAACAAGTATTAAGTGTTATGATAAAATCTCAGGATAAACGAATATTAATCACACGATAGCACAACAAATATTGAGAACACAAAACACACAAATAGAGCACAAAACACCTAGATAGAACACAAAACACAGATATACGTGATTCGGCTTTTAGCCTACATCCAAAGGAAAGGGAGAAGAATAGCTTTTATAATCAATTGTAAGGAATATAATATGAAGATCTCTCAATCACTAATCCCCAATAACACCGCAAAAGCACTCAATACAATCTCTCTAATCAATTTTTATCACCTATAGAGCCAACCAAATAAAGAGTCCACTCAAGAACCTCCTAAATCTTTGCTTCAGCCTACATAACCTTCTCAATGCTTGATGCTGCTGTCAAGTGAATCAAATACAACATCTTTCAGAAAAATAAACGAAAGGGAGCCATATAGATAAGCAGAATTAATTCTCATGGCTTCAAAGAGAGCCTTGGTCTACATTTCTGGAGGCATATCGCTTGCCCTTGATGCTTTCTGGACTTCTCCTTTTATAGTTTATCCGAGGATCAAATTGGATAAGAAACCAATTCTCAGTTGGACTTATTATCCTAACAAATTGCAAATTCTTATATCCAATTCTTATCTAACAATGATTCAAATGAAACAAATAATAATCCTAATATCATGGGTTGCTTTATCTGCCATAGGAGCTAAGCATGCTTTGGCATAACATATAACTGATTTCAAAATCCAATCATCTACAACTGAAATAGTTGCTATCCTCTACCAAGTACAATGAGCTAAATAAAGAATTGTGTTTGAGACTGGTATTTGAATCACACATAACAAATCTCCATAGTGACTTAACATACATTGAAAGTTTTGACATCAAAATTTATTTACCCCACCTTCTCTAAAGGCCCTGCTGGGCATCAAGTATGACACATACTGATCAAATTCAAACACTTCTTGAACTTGCCAATGGAAAAAGACTTCGATAACATACCAACTGAAAAATCTGCACCAACAAGGCAACAACTTACCTATCCACTAAACAATCACTTGAAATAGCTCTTGAATAACACAATGGCGCATAATCGTCAACTGATGATGCATAAGCTATTGTATTTTCATATCTCGTAGCAGTCGAATATCTCATCGCCTTCCAATCATCATCACACTGATAGTCGATTTCTTCGACTTCCCAAATAATCCCTTCCTCAATCCATTTTGTGTCAATACGGCGATCATCCTAACTTGCCATAGGCTAAAATAGATGTTGCTATCAAACTTTTCAATATCCTACTTCGCAGTGGTTTTCGTCATCTTGCCGTTTGATTGATGGTTGAGTTTTTAGCACCAATTTGTTATGATCATAGTCACGCCTTTCTCTGGGTCCCCCTCGAACTGTCGAATAGTTCATGTGAACCGATTCCCTATACATTTACAAACCGATTCCTTCCCATACACGAATTAGTTCCCCAAAATTAGCTTACCCCTTACTAAATATGAGGGGACCAAAGTTGATTTACAAGTCTGTTTTCATGCACATGCGTTTGGATTTTTTTATATGTTTCGATAATATTATTAAAAGTATTCTGTTAGTAAGTGGAAGTTATCCAAAGTTAATAACTAAATTTTAGATCACTATTTCTTTAACTGATGTTACTTAAAAGATTTTGTCTTGGCCTATTAGTAGCTCTTCAGCTGAGAGAAATTGGAGTACTTATTCCTACATACATAGTGTGAAAAGGAATGGATTGAACAGTGAAAGGGCGGATAAGTTAGTATTCATCCATTCAAACATTCGCCTCCTGTCATGATTTTGTGATAATTACAAAGCTAATCCATATAAAAGATGGGATATGGATCCCAATAATGATAACATTTGCCTCCTGTCACGATTTTGTTTGAACTCAAAATTAGCATTAGATGCACTTGATGTTAAGGGGGAAAAGTTACAAAATAAAAAAAAAATTATTAAGAGGTTGTCTAATATTTAATATTTTAAGTTTTATGTATTCATAAATTATAAAAATAAAGTATTAAAGTATTGTGTATGAAATTTTTTTATTGAAATGCATAATTAGTTTTCTAGTTTCTGATTTCCTACTATACGCTTTGAAAATGATAAGCGTACCCAGGAAAAGTTACATTGTACCATATATTGAACTTGGGTATCAAAGCAAGATATCCCTTGTCGAATCCAAAATTTCAAATTCTCGAATTGCGTGCTGAATTCTTACGACGACCCGTTACGTACAGTGGACCATGTAACTATGGTTATGATAAAATCCTAAGATAAACAAATATCAATCACATAATAGCACGAGAACACAAAACACTCGGATATATGTTGTTTGCGTGTAGCTTATGTCCATGGGCGAAGGAGGAGAATACTTTTACTATCAATTGTAAGGAATATAATACAAAGATCTCTCAATCATTAATCCCGCATAACACCCCAAAAGCACTCAAGGTTATCGATAGCAGATAGCCTCGTGTAGTGGCGAGGCATCGCTAAGGCTATTTGGAGCTATTGCAGCAAAATAACGATAAAAAGCGCCAAGTCAAATAACGGCCTAATTTAAATATGTGTAAATATTAAAAAAAATTGTAAAAAAGTTTAGAAAATCTAAAAGTGCATTTGATATTGAAAGAGATCCTAAACATGAAATAGACATATAACAGTCACATAATACCGAAGATAACCTGAGAAGTCAAAGAATTGTCATTTTCGAGAATATGAGGTGTGCAGACAAAATACTTTATAAAAGGTAGATTCTTTCTTTTAATGGTTGCGAATGCAGTAGGTGAGAACGTCTTTATTTTGTGGCTGTGAGTGTGATAGGTGAGGATGCTTTTATCCTGTAGTTCTATTAGTTGGTCCATCTTGCTTCTCAGTTTTTATTTTCAATTGATCAATATGGATTGTTGAATCTTCCTGTCGTTCTTCCTCTTCTATAGGATCCGAGGTTGATGCCGTTATTGATTGAGGGGATGATCATGGTTTAGGTAGAAAGGATTCCTTAATTCTTTTCCTTTCATTCCTAAGTGAAGTGAATTGATAAAGCTATTTGCAATTTCTGTATGGTTGGATTTTAATTTAGGAACCAAAGCTGCAGTTTGCCCATCAAATAGAATTATCCTATTTTCAATTTTAATGGATGGGACTGAACTGGATAATTCTCATATGGTGTCAAAGAATTATACTAAGTATTCCAACATTCATTTTCTTCTATAAAGTCTTTTTTGTTAAATTAGATCTTTTTGTGTCGTGGATCTTCAATGACTTTGTGGAGTTCCCAAAGTTGAGCTGAGGGTACATCTTTATATATTTTCTTTCTTCCCAATTTGAAACGTGAATACATTTTGGTATTTTGTATCGTACAACATGGTCTTAAAACATACTGGGGGTATGATATTTTCAAAATCTTGAAGGTTATTGGTATAGAGATATATCTCGTGAACAAATCCCTTTTGAATTTGCACTTTATATTCGAGAATTTCATCAAAACAAGCTAAAAGCATTGGTTTGTTATTTTAATTTAGTATCAACTCATGTTTGCTTAGTAGACTCTCGATTCCTATTTCTTGAATATCTTTGAAGAACTTTAGCAAGAATTGATCATCAACTAGTTGTTGATTATGAAATTCTAAGAGTTTTTGGAATTGAGATTCAGATTCCAAGACCAATTACTTTTTTTCGTATCTATTTTAAAAATTTTCATTAGTTCAAGGAAGTCCTCACTCCTTAGAACTCACAAAATCTGATGGATCAAAACTTTCGAGGATACTCTTTTACTATCTCTGTTTAGGAGAGTAGCCTTCAAACATGTTGCACATTTTTCTTGTTAGGGCCAGAGTTCTTATTGTAGAAAAATATTTTGTCATATTTTCTACCTTTTTTCTAGCTTCTTAATATCCTCTGTTTTCCGCTGTAATGGCTGCATTCTTTTCTTTCAATTTTTCATCTAGCAATGTAAGGTAAAAATTTATAGTTTTATTTTCACTTTTTTGAACAGCTTTGAAAATGCTATTTGGATGATTGTAATATTCTAGGTTTGAGGAAAGAAACTAGACCAGTGGATCAAATTGTTTGACCAATGGGTAGAGAATGCTGACATGTAGGTCTTAAGAGCAGTGGGTCTTGGAAAGCCAGCGGGCCTGAATCCTAACTCATATTTTGCTGAGTTCTTGTAAGAATTTTTCGTACATCCGTGGATGAAATATCTTGAGAGGGAGTGGCTTTAGCTTTCTTCACTTTCTTCGTTCATTCTTCATTGAGCCTTTTCATGGACTCGTTATGATCATTTAGTGACTTCTGCACTATTTCCTCTAGCTCTTTGGTAGAGATGGCCTAGAAAAAAGATAAGCTGTAAAATTAGTATATCCAGGGATGTATTTGACGTCATAGGAATAGACTTCTAAATACATAGCAATTCTAACTTTTCTAAGATTTTTTCAGCTTCAATAATAAAGTTTTTGTCAAGGAGATATATCTTCAGAATTTTTATAGCTAATTTTATAGCAAGAAGTTCTTTGTCATAAGTAGCATATTTTTGTTCTGTCTTTTCAAATTTTCCATATGCATAAGCTACCTCTATATTTTATCTTTTATTTTAACAATAATTATTCATGCCCAACAAATAGCAGAAGCATCAGTTTGTAAAATAATGCTATGTGTATCTGATGGATAGTATAAGATTTTTTATCTATAATTAGTTCTTTTATTTTTTTAATTTCAATTCTATCTAAATTTG